GTGTGTGTGTGTGTGTGTGTGTGTGTGTGTGTGTGTGTGTGTGTGTGTGTGTGTGTATAATGATGTGTGTGTACATATATGTGTGTGTAATGAAGTGTATGTACTGATTTGTAAGTGTGTGTGTGTGTACATGTATGTGTGTGTGGGGGTGTATCTGTTTACTGATGTGTGTATGTGTTTACTGAAGTGTGTGTACTCATTTGTAAATGTGTATCTGTGTGTATACATATGTGTGTAATAAAGTGTGTGTGTGTGTGGGGGGGGGGGTATCTTTTTACTAATGTTTATTGATGTGTGTGTGCTGTGTCCACTGTTTGTGTAATGTGTATATGTGTAAGTGTGTGTGCAGATGTTGTGTGTATGTATTGATGGTTGTGTGTGTGATTGTATGATGTGTTTGGGTGTAAGTGTGTGTGTACTGATGTGTCCATAAATGTGTGTATGTCTGTTTGCGCTTGCGTGTGTGTGTGTGCATGCATTTCCCATCAGTGTGTGCTGGTGTTCACGTGTGTGTGTGTGTGTGTTCTACAGGTGGATCTACTGTCCCGACTGTACGCCTGTTGTGTGTGTGTGTGAGTGTGTGTGTGTGTGTGTGTGAGACGCTGCAATCCGCTTCCGGCAGTACAGCACAATAGCCACGACACACAGGAAGAGACGCGGAGAGCGAAGTCAGAGGGAGGAAGTCTCTGCAGAAGAGCATGACGGAGTTCTGGGTGTGTTTCAGCTGCTGCGTCGCTGAGCAGCCACAACCCGTGAGTACACACACACACACACACACACACACACACACACTCACACTAATTAACATGATCTGATGAGGATGATGATGATGATGATGATGGTGGAGTCAGTCTGGGGTGTAGAGACGTGTGTGTGTGTGTGTGTACGTGCATATGCGTGTGTGCGCGTGTGCTGAATGCACTGTGTCTTCCTGTGTGTGGCTTCACTGTTCCGTCTTCTCTCTGTATGTGTGTGTGTGTGTGTGTGTGTGTGTGTGTGTGTGCAGAAGCGCAGGCGGAGAATAGATCGCTCTATGATCGGAGAACCCACAAACTTCGTCCACATGACACACGTGGGTTCTGGAGAGATGGGCTCGGGTCTGGGAGCTGTGAGTATTGTTATAGTTTATTGAACATCACACACACACACACACACACACACACACACACACACACACACACACACACACACAGCATGGACACTATCTGATGGATCGTGTGTAATAATAATAATAGTTGAGGGTGGGTTATTGTAAATGCAGCTCTGGGTAAGAGACGTCTCTCAGGACCAACACACACACACACACACACACACACACACACACACGTCTACATTTCAGTAGTAATTTAATTTATTTCTCTGAATGTGTCATTTGATCATGTGTGTTCTCTATGCAGAGTGCTGTGTTAGAAATAAATCAACATTATTAGCTCTGTTTATTTGTCAGCCCTCTATGTTTAGTTTTATTGTGTGTGTGAAGCTTCAGTCAGTAGAATTACAGTGAGTGTGTTTCTGTGAGAAGCTCAGGTGTGTGTGTGTGTGTGTGTGTGTGTGTGTGTGTGTGTTAGTGTGAAATCACTGCGCTGTTTGTTACTCATTTGACTGACAAACACACTGGTTAGACGACGCTTCAGATGAAACTCTGTTTTGAATGTGCGTGTGCTGATCTCTCTCTCTCTCCCTGTGTGTGTGTGTGTGTGTGTGTGTGTGTGTGTGTGTGTGTGTGTGTTGGCAGGTGGACACTGTTCAGGCGCAGATGAAATCTAAAGGTGGTTACGGCAACGGCACATCAGACAGTGTACAAGGCTAATCAGGTGAACATACTACATACTATCTCACACATACACACACTATACATACAGTACACTGTACATACTATACACACACACCATACATACTATCAGGCCCGGCGCTACGGGGGGCAAATGAGGGCATTGCCCCCTCAGAAAGAATTTGTGCCCCCCCCAGTTTTCATAAAGGATTAAACACTCATAACTGAAAACTCTTTCTGTCATTAATTACTAACACTGCCGTCAGTCCAACCTGCAGAACACACACACACACACACACACACACACACACACACACACACGCATTGAGATATTGTATAATGTGAAACAGCACTTCAGGGATGAAAATTGTGAGATTAAAGCTTGACATAGTCCAGTGATCTGGTATCTGCGTCCCTGTAAACCTGCACACGGCAGTGGAGGCGCACTCAACTCACACAGGATAACCCTGCACTAGTGGATGACGTGAGGCGAGCAGCTTAATTCATTACAGTTCTGGTGAACTAACTCTTTAAACATCTCTCCTGAGCTTTAAAGGAAAGAAATGCAGAAGAAACTTGCTGTTAAATTAATTTGAGCCTAACGCAACGGCCAGTCATCTTCACAGTAGTGTTTCAGTTATGTAGCCTATTAAAAATGATTAGTACACTGCACAGTGCCACAGTAGTCTACACTATAATTATCATTTAAATGTATTATATTCATTATTGTTAATATTATTAAACTTGACAAAACGCAGAACCCTTTTGAATGTTTGCTTTGATTTCGACATGCTAAAGAACACGTTTACAGTTGTGTAAAGAAACATCCCATCATGCAGCAGCAGTCAAGTCAAGTAGCGTTTCAATGATCGGCCTGTGAGGTCAAGTGTACAGTTATAAATGGAGTGGGTATATAGTGCGTGAGTAAGGTGAATTACCGCAGATCCACCTCTCACATGCGCTGCTGTCGGCTGAATGATGATCTTTAATAAATATGTAAATTAGGCTATAAACACTAGAAAACACACTGTAGGCCTGTATTAAGAGATACAATACAGTCAGCATATCGAGTTTGTTTTGACCTGTAGCTCATGACCCTAAACATGAAAATAACCTGAAAACAAGTCATTAAAATAGGTTAATAAATAAATATAATGACAGGTCAGCCTAATGGTTTATGATGGCGTTTCTACAAATGCCAACTGCGACAATATCACAGGAAAAAGCTCGGTTATGACAGCCTAACATAAATCTTTATTTTTACCTTTAAAATGATGGAAAGGTTATATAGCCTGATGAGTTGTGTGTTATCTCAAAGATTAACCAATTTTCACGTTAATAGCTGTAAATTTAGCTATGCTTTTTTAGGTTTTTTCCTGGCTACACTAATGCCTTGAAATGTGGCTAAATCATTGTTTAATTGACATCAGATTTAGCTGGAGCATTTAGCTTTTAACCGTGATGACTCGGTTATGCTGATCACTATATTTATTTACTGAATATACCAATAGTCTGACCGAGGGTCAGCTGCATGTGTGGGCATAGTTTCACGTCTTTACCTAAAACTTTAAACATTTATAGGCAGATTATTTGAAATAAAACTGAAATAAATAAGGAGAATAACATATGATTTAAAGCACTCGTTTGGCACTGAAGTCATGATCTGTCTGCGATAATTGTTGCACAACCCTCAATAACAAAATCAGTATCAGACAAAATCAGACAGTATCACTATACACACACTATATATATTACAAACATCCACATTGTGTGTGCGTGTGTGAGTGTGCATGTGTGAGTGTGCGTGTGTTCTCAAGTGTGTCTATGTGTGTGTGTGTGTGTGTGCGTGCATGCGTGTGTGTGTGTGTTGAAAGATTATGTGCATTTTAGTTCAGTTGCATTTACATTGATTAAACTCTGATGTGATATGATGGGTTGACCTGTGCCTCAACCCCCACAAACTGATAGGTGTGAACTAAATGACCCTTTTACAATCTCAATGGGTATTAGCAAAACAACAGCTGAAACATCTGAAGAGGATCCTGCTGAGCCTCGTAAACAGAATGGTTTGTTTGGTGCTAATATAAAGTACTGTCTCACAGACAGTACTTTGGGTTAAGTTACTTGAAGACCGACGGGTTAACATCACTGCTGAGGAACTGCACTATTGATTGTCTTCAATAAAGTCTTCTTTCCGTAAGAACTTTGGTCAGCTTACTTTTTTTTATGTATTAGAGTAATCTAATACATTGGCGAGCCACCCAAGAACGGTTGAGCCAAATACAGCAAAATCTAACAATTTGGCGAGCCAGCCAGGAGAGACTGAAAAGAGGAAGACTCATCAACTGCAACAAGAAATGAACTGAAGAATCTTGGAGAATCTACAGTTAAAGCTGAAGATAAACGGATTTTGTTTGTGGACGAGTCCTGGATCTACATATTGTATCTGTGGACACACTTTATTTTAATCAACTGGATCTCATCTCAAAGATCCTAGTTTGGTGAGTGAAACTTATCAGCTCTCTTAAAGAACCCTTAAAAGAAACATCTTTTATAAGTAACCATTAAAGTAAGCAGATCGACCTGTATATGTAGTGCAGTAAGAAACTACAGTGATAGTATTGCTGAAATTTTAGGCTTTTTCTCGATATTTGCAGAAATTGTTAAAGAAACAATTTGGTCCATTTATCAAAAGATTTTGAAAGAGCAGTGGAAATTTTAGGCTTAGTCCATTCTCAGGGTACTTGTAGGAATTATTTAAACAATTTGGTCCTTTCTCATGGAGATTGTAGGAATTGTTGAAAATAATTTGGTCCATTTCCCCAGGGGACTGTAGGAGCCATAAAATAGTTTGGGACTGATGTTGCTGCAAGAATTAGGAATTCTTGACTGGGTGCTAATTCAGTAGCCACTATTTTAATTTTGAAGGTAACAGAGCCTTCTGTGATAGAAATCTTAAAAACATTGTAGGTTTGATTCGTTTTCTAGAGTTTGCATGAACTGTTAAATAATCATTCTAGTCCATTCACTAAGATTATGCAGAAGCAGAGCTTGGTCCATTCTCAGCTGTGATTGTAGAGATTGAAAAATAACAGTTTTAGCTCCTTTACCAAAGATGATTAAGAGCGATATAAAGCTAACATAAATAGTTGAGACTGATATTGCTGCGAGGATTAGGAATTCTTGACTGTGGGCTAATTCAGTAGCCATTATTGGAATTTTGAAAATTCTAACTGTGTTAAAATATGATGGCATAAAACTGAAAGCTGTTTGCCTTAGGTTTAAGGATACAGTGAGATTTAAGCACATTGTATTAGGGACAAATCCTAAAGAAAGTTACTTAGCCTTCTAAGATAATGCTCAGAAAGAATTGTTATTAGACAGAAGCTTTCAGGCAATTTTAGGCTTGATTCTTGCTTTGAAGATTGTAGAAACTGTGAAAAAAGAATTCTGATCAAATCACTAAGATAATGCAGAAGCAAAGCTTGATACATTCTCTGTTGGGATTGAAGAGATTTTAAAAGTAGTAGTTTAATACATTTGTTCAAAGATTGTTAGTAGCCAAATAAGATTTGGGACTGAAAGAATAAAAGTGCTAATTTAGTAGCCACTATTTTAGCTTTGAAACAAATGTTGAATCTGTCTATGTATTTGAAATGGTTTAACAGACTGCTGTGAATTTAAATTTGAATAAGCACCTTTATTAGCTCTAACACCTTTTGTTCTGTTTCACACCTCTGAGAGCACTGTCCTGTACTTCCCATGGCTGAGTCTGCAAGAAACTATGCTAATGGAGCTACCCTGAGAACAACATCAGAAAAACATGGAACAGAACCTCCATGTGTTACCATTGACCAGATGTTGGAGAATTTGAATGCATATTTAGACAAAAGGCTGGGACTGAGGAAGTGTTGTGATGATGTATGCAAGAAGTACAGCATCAAGCACTCACAGAGTGGATTATGGGCATTGCCGGACATTAAAAGGGCTTATGGAAAGACACAGCGCTTATGCACAACCACCAAGAAGGATGGATTGTCTGTGATTTTGGTTAAGCAAATTCTTCAACATGAGCATAAGTGTGAGACTGACCGATTGGAACGTGAGAACAAAGCAGAGAAAGTCAAAGTTCGAGCACTGGCTGAACAATTGCAAAACTTAAAGAAGGATAAAGAAAGACTGGAAAATGAAAACAACAAGCTATTGACTTTGATCTCCAAACAGCTGGAATCAAGATCTTCAAGCAGCTTTGTTGACAGTGAGGCTGATCTTTCCATCAACACCTGTGTTCATGACCCAGTGAACTCAAAGATTAGATTAGCTCCTGTGATTGTCAAACACAGAAAGACTAACGTTGAAATTGACAATGAGGAGGGCTATGAAGACAATGGAGAGAGACGAACTCGCACTGTGACAAAAGTGGTAAAGAAGTATGTTCCATACAGGTCATACCATCCAGCTACTCCAGAGCAAGTTGACAAATGGTCAAAAGAGCTGCCAGATGTATACAAACAACCACGAAAGGTTTGGCAGTTTCTTCAACGACTGCAGAAAATCTACATTTTACATCCACTAGACGGTGTGATGATTCTTAATGTCACCCTAAGAGACAGTGACCAAAAGAGACTCACAGAAAGTGTTGAAAGAAGGATTGGTGAATCACAAGAAAACATAGAGGATGGATGGGAAGCCATAAAAAACTTCTTGTTTGAACTGAAACCTGCAGAGGTCAATTGGGCAAGAATTACCTCATGCATGCAGAAAACTGGAGAAAGTGTTGCAGAGTTTGAAGAACGCTTCAGACAAATATGGACGGAACATTCTGGTCTGAATACAAGTGAAGATCTTGACAAAGACACTGGAATTCCCCTGAAAACAGCATTTGTCAATGGACTCAATCCTGAGATTTCTAAAGATCTTAAAATCAGGTATGATGACTGGGACAGCACTGTAACAACTTTCATCCAGATTGTTGAATGGTCAGCTAAACTGGAGAGAGCACAAGATGTCAGACTCAGATCTTTGCAATCGGAAAGTTTGTTTTACAAGAACAGAAGAATTGAGGATGAGCAAAAAGAACGTGAGTATATGGGATACTCAAAACTACGAACTAAAGGAAGATGCAGAAATTGCAATGAAGAAGGACACTGGGCCCGTGAGTGCAAGCTCAGTTTAAAACATCAAAGCAAGGATGATGACCACCTGTTCAAGCAGTTTCAGCAGCTAACAATACAACAAAAACAGACTCTGCTAAATGCTGTACAGCCGCAGGGAAACTGAAGAACCTCTCTCTGCAGCACCAGCTAGTGACGTCTTTTCCAGAAGCTGATGAACTGAATGTGTATGCAAACAGTAATATAAAAGCTGACACAGAAGTCTCAACAGATGAAGACAAGTTTGTTGTCCTAGTAGATGGTGTTGCCAAACAAGCCGTAAAGGAGAGAGGTGAACATACAGCGGCATTAAGACAGCTTCAGCAAGACCACCGATCAGTCTTAGACAGAAAGCAGACTGCAAATGAAAACTCAACAAACGAAATGCTGATGGACGATGCAAAAGAACTGCGTGATGGCAACCAATGCAGTATGGATGGAAACAGACTATGCCCTTTTGAACATGCCCCAAGCCAGCCCATGTCCACTGAAAACCTGACATCTGACAGCCTTGTCCAAAATGAAGCAAGACTCAGCCTGGCCGTACATAAGGACATTAATCAAGTTTTGTCACCTAGAGAGAGGGGCCATTGTTTAGAGCCCAGCAAATGGGTAAAGACACGACAACCTCAGAAACTACCACTAAAATCCAAGTGGAAGAGCTCACTTGAGAAAGTTTTAGTATCTGATTCAATAATTAATGTTCAGGGACTTGATGAATGGATCAACGTAAGTTTACCTAGAGACGAGGGATAGATGACAGTAGTGTTTGTCAGAGTCCAGATATGGCGGGACTAGAGTTTTTAGGCTCTAGCTTGTCGCCTGAGGATGAAGACATTAACCACCACTGATAAACACTGTAGTGTCCTGTCAATATTAAATAGGGACAGTTTCTATAGTTTCTATAGGCAGTTTGAAAATTTCTCTGAAATCTTTTTCTGGGCAAGATACGTTTCCCTTTTCCCTTTTGTGTGATTGCAGGTGTTCCAGAGGATGACCAGAGACACACAACACCAGACACCTAGATGAACACACCTGAACATCCACAGAACACAACCACATCCTGCTACTTCTACAACATCACAACTTCAAATAGAAATGGACTCAGGCATTTGAGGAAATGCAAGCTTCACCATGACTTCTTATTCTGTCACTTTAAGTTATATAGCCTGTATTGCAGATTTCTGTATACATGATTAACTTGTTTTATGATCAAATATGATCAAAGGAGGGATTGAAAGATTATGTGCATTTTAGTTCAGTTGCATTTACATTGATTAAACTCTGATGTGATATGATGGGTTGACCTGTGCCTCAACCCCCACAAACTGATAGGTGTGAACTAAATGACCCTTTTACAATCTCAATGGGTATTAGCAAAACAACAGCTGAAACATCTGAAGAGGATCCTGCTGAGCCTCGTAAACAGAATGGTTTGTTTGGTGCTAATATAAAGTACTGTCTCACAGACAGTACTTTGGGTTAAGTTACTTGAAGACCGACGGGTTAACATCACTGCTGAGGAACTGCACTATTGATTGTCTTCAATAAAGTCTTCTTTCCGTAAGAACTTTGGTCAGCTTACTTTTTTTTATGTATTAGAGTAATCTAATACATTGGCGAGCCACCCAAGAACGGTTGAGCCAAATACAGCAAAATCTAACAGTGTTTATATCTGAGAATATATATATATATATATATTTTTACGTCAATGAGTGTATATGTGTGTTTGTGCTTAAATGTATGCGTGTTTGTGAATATACACACACACACACACACACACACACACTGAGAGAGAATGTATATGCATGTTTATGTAAAATTGTGCATATGTTTGTGCATTTATGTGCGTGCGTGCGTGCGTGTGTGTGTGTGTGTGTGTGTGTCTGTGTTTGTGTGTGTGCTAGTCAGATCTCTAATAATGTGTGTGTTCTGTGTGTTTCAGCACTGATGGGCTCCTCCTGCGTACACACACACACACACTTGAGCGCAGTCTCTCAGCACTGCCGTCTGGACGGTTGTAGATATTTTTGTAATGAAGCACTGCTATTCTTTTACTGGTCAGCTGGTGGCGCTCTGCACAGCGGAGACGAGGATGAAGAGTCTGTGTGTGTGCGTGGATACACACTCTGAGTACAGGCGTCCCGCAGCTGTATTTATTTCATTGTTTAATGGTGGCTGGGCCACAAGAACACACACACACACACACACACACACACACACACACATATACATATACAAACACATATAAATACAATACACACACATGCAAACACACACCCAAATACACACACACTGAACGCGCTCGTGAACAACTGCTTCTGTGATGTCTGTGCTCTGGATCTCCGCGTCTGTGGAGTATGGTGTTGTTTTTATCTGTAGCTGTGCTGTCTGCTGTACTCCTGAACTGTGCGTCTCACTGTAACCTCAGCGCTGCGCTCTCCCCACACGGAGGAGGAGGAGGAGGAGGAGGAGGCGCTGCTGCAGGGAAACTATTTTTCTACAAACTGTGTTCATTTCATTCTGATGCATCAATAAAATGACATCCTTGTAGACGCGTGTGTGTGTGTGTGTGTGTGTGTGTGTGTGTGTGTGTGTGTGTGTATATATGTGTGTATGTGTTTTTATGACATATCAGGACACAATTCTGAATAATGACATGGGTATGACACAGGTATTACAAAAAAGAGGTGAAATATGGGGACATTGGTGACGTCCTCATTTCTCAAAATGCTTATAAATCCCACAGCATGAGTTTAATCAGAGAGTAAAGCTGCACACTGACTCCTGTGATGGTTGGGTTCAGGGGTGAGGGCAATACAATATACGGTTTGGACAGAATAAAATGAATGGAAACCTATGTAATGTCCCCACTTTTCACAAAAACAAACGTGTGAGTTTATTTGTGTGAGTGTCTGAATGTGTATCTGTGAGTTTTTTTTATTATATATAACTGTAACATTATTTATAACTAAATAATGGGGGATTTGTGGTGTACAGTCACTGCTCTCTTGATAAAAGGCTCCTATTTTACCCCATTTTCCAGATGTAAGATCAGAGTTTAGTGTCTCCAGCATGTGTCTGTAAAGTTTGAGCTCAACACACATCATAGTACAGCTTTCTGAATGTTGGATTTTTTGCTTTGGACACTGTGGAGCTGTGTTTGTGGCCTGTGCCTTAAACGCTTGTTCTCCACGCGCACCGTTCCCTCCTGAGTTTTTTTAATTCATTCATTTTCTTGTCGGCTTAGTCCCTTTATTAATCCGGGGTTGCCACAGCGGAATGAACCGCCAACTTATCCAGCAAGTTTTTACACAGTGGATACCCTTCCAGCCACAAACCATCTCTGGGAAGCATACACACATTCACACTCATACACTACAGACAATTTAGCCTACCCAATTCAACTGTACCGCATGTGTTTGGACTGTGGGGGAAACCGGAGCACCCGGAGGAAACCCACACCAACACGGGGAGAACATGCAAACTCCACACAGAAACACACACTGAGCCGAGGCTTGAACCAGCGACCTTCTTGCTGTGAGGCGACAGCACTAATGCGCCACTGCTTCGCTCCTGAGTTTTTTTATTTATTTAATTTCTATTTTATTGTGCATTATAATTTACAAATACAGCAAAAACAGGCGACAAATAAAAAATCCAAAGATATTTGAAATTCAAAAATAAAAAAATAAAAAATGGGGGCGAATTATAACGCTAAAGGGGGTCGCACACCAGATGTGCCGCTCTGCAATGCGTCACGCCATGCATTTTAGACTTCTAAACAGGTTTCTATCAGGGTATGCAAGTCGGCGGCTGTCCGCGGCGCCCAGTCACGAGTCCAGACACTGTTCATATTTCTACCGCATCACAGAGCGCAGAGTTTCATTTTAAATAACGAATGTGCACGTCTGGTGTGCGATACTTTCAACTGTCATGTGCGTGCCATGATGCGGCGCATCCAGTGTGTGACTGCTTAAAAAGCTGACGCATTTACATGTGATTTGTGTGCAAACGTAACATTCTGTAGTGCAGTTAGTGATTGCCATAAGACTCTAATATCAGGTTAGGGTTAGGTTGTGATGTCAGGTGACCAAAATTCAATGTCTAGCCAGCGTCTAAGGACAACGTTTTTTTGATGTCCAATAATGACGTCAAATGACGTTGATATTTGGTTGATTTTAGGTTGTTAGAAAGTGACAAAAATCCAATGTCGAGCCAACATCTTAAACCAACATCATATTGACGTCACATACTGATATTTATTCATCAGTTATGGCAACCAAAATCCAACATCTGATAGACGTCATAGCAGTAACGTCCACACAACCAAAGCTGTGACATCATTAGACGTTGATTTTAGGTTGGATGTTGGACATTGATGTTGACCTGACGTTGAGTTCTGACGTCAACATGATTTTCATTTCCAAACAAACTGCAGCGTCCCCACGACATTAGGGTACAGCATCAATCTGACGGCATGTTGAGGTCTTGTGCCTGCTGGCTGTTTAAGGCCATTTGGGTCATCATACAGTAAACATCCGTCATCTTCTCATCAGTGACATCATCTAAACCAGGGCCAACCCTGTTCCTGGAGAGCCACCTTCTGCAGATTTCAGTTTTAACCCATATTAAACACACCTGCCTGTAATTATCACATGGTGTTCAGGTCCTAATTAATTGGTTCAGGTGTGTTTAATATGGGTTGCAACTGAAATCTGCAGGAAGGTGGCTCTCCAGGAACAGGATTGGCCACCCCTGGTTTAAACAGTCTCTGGGTCAGTGTGTGTAGAGATTTTGGACATCTTCTTGGACACTTTTAATGCTTCCACACAGTTTACTGCAGTTATAAATCGCTCATGTCTTTAGGTAGCTCAGTATGAGGCATATACCTTCTGTGTGTGATCTGACTGGACAGGAATCACAGGACTGCAGGGGCGGACTGGCCATCTGGCAATTCTAGCAAATGCCAGAAGGGCCGGACGATTTTTTTAAATGTGGGCCGGTCAGTTTTTTATTTTTTATTTTATTATTATATAATAATAGTAATAATAATAGTAAATGTTAAGCATTTGGCCCAATCGGTGATAGTTTCAAGAGGGGTCGACTCAATCAAAGGTTACGCGGACATAATCAAAATCTGGCAAGAATGTCAAACAAACAGTACATATGGTAATGTGGGCTAGTGTAGCTATAGTGCCAGGGCTGAATTTTTGTCCCAGTCCATCCCTGCAGGACTGATTATTCTAATCCCCATAGACAAGAGGAATACAGTAGTGACTGCAGACTGAAGCACAGTGGTGTAACAGCACCGATACTGCCCTGAAAGTGTGCTGAAGTGAGAGTAAAAGTGCACATGTATAAAACTACTGAGTAAATTACAATCCCTGAGGAAAAACACTTGATTACAGCAGTCTGAGGATGTGTAATGTGTTACTTTACACCACTGGTCACACACAATGCCGTTACAAAGTTCACACATCACACAGAGACACACACAGACACACACCCATAGAGCATGCGTTTAATTTAGCAGGTTAATAAAGTAAACACAGGTTAATCTCCACTGCTGTATAGATATCTGTTATGTTAATGTACAGAATAATCCTGATTTAACATCCACAAACCGGGATTGAAGCGTCTTCTTTTATAAGTGTACTGACACGCGGATGTGCTGATGAAGTGAATCGCTGTAACTCATCACACACATGAGCTTGTGAAACTCACTCTAGATCACATTTGCTGATGAGTGATGATCACAGAGCGCTGAACAGAGCTTTAAATCCCGGGTGCTTTGCGCACGTGCTGTCTTATTCATATGATTATACGCGTTACTATGGAGACATGTTAATTCGCAGCTATCAATCAATTCAGTGGGCGGGGAAACCGCACTATATGTCAGGTTGCGGTCGGCCTCAGAATGGCAGGGGTTTGGATCCTATTTTAACATCAGGAAATTTAAAACAGAGACTAATGTGTTAATTTCAGCCCAGTATGACTGTGGACACACTACACCTGCACACAGTAGCGGACACAAGATGAGACTGAGGGAGAGAGTAGTAAACAAAGGAGTTTTTTTTTATTTGCTGTGTTTTGTATTATTATACATGTTCTTCTATTTTATGTAAACTTTATAACTGCTTTAGCAATGAATTTGTAACATTTGTCATGCCGATAAAGCAATTATTCAGTTAAATTATGGCAACACGGTGGACCTCGGCTGGGTCAGTTGGTGTTTCTGTGTGGAGTTTGCATGTTCTCCCCGTGTTGGCGTGGGTTTCCTCCGGGTGCTCCGGTTTCCCCCACAGTCCAAACACATGCACTATAGGGGAACTGATCAACTACACTGGCCGTTGTGGATGACTGTGAGTGTGTGGATGTTTTCCAGTACTGGGTTGCAGTTGGAAGGGTATCCACTGTGTAAGTTAGTGGTTCATTCTGCTGTGGCGACCCCAGATTAATAAAGGGACTACGCCGAAAAGAAAATGAATGAATGAATTAAATTGTGAGACAGTGAGTGTGTGTTTGAGTGTGTGTGGGTGTGTGGGAGAGAGTTGATGTAAGCGTGTGTGGGTTTGTGTTTATGTGCCTGTGTGTGTGTGTGTGTGTGTGTGTGTGTGTGTGTGTGTTTGTGTGTGTGTGCCTCTATAAAGGCGCATGATCATTCCTCCATGATTAGTCGTGTGTTTCTGGTTTTTCCGGTTCTGTTCTGGGTTGTTCTCTATTTCTGTCTTCCAGCTGTGTTTATGCTGACTGGAGTGAATCTGAATAATCCCTGTTCTCTCCTCATATCTCGATATTAAACTCTTCTATGACAGTTATAGTTTGCTCTGTGGAGTATCCCTGATGGTGATGAAGACTGATGTCGCGGTGTTTTGTCTACGTGAACGCGCTTGAGTCACGTGACCGAACGCGGAAGAGGAAATGAAAGCGTTTACCGACAACGTAAACATGACAGAAGCGAAACTTAGAAAGTGAATTGACGGCCTGAAGTTATCGATCCTATAGTCAATAATCGCTGAAAGCGGAGTGTGTGTGTGTGGGAGAGAGAGAGTGAGAGAGTGTGTGAGTTAGTGATGGCGCTGAAGCTGTGGAGTCTGCTCCTGCTGGCGGCGGTGTGTCCTCAGGTGAGCTGAACCCCGTGTGTGTGTGTTGTGAAGTGTTCGCTAAGTGGTCAGCACTCGCTGATGCCGTGTGTGAGTGTTTGAGTGTGTGTGTGTGTGTGTGTGTGTGTGTGTGTGTGTGTGTGTGTG